ACCGGAGGCATAAGATATTCGAATACATGCTCAGAAAGCTCTAGGTCTATCAGTCTAAAAAGTGAAGGCATGCTTCGTGGTACAGATAACTTTTATTTTATTCTCATAACTTTATCCTTTAAATTAGAACTGGTATTAATTAATAGAGTTATCAATATATTTTTAACCGGTTACCCATATAACCTTTTTGCTTGTCATCATTGGTATAAAATAAGGTGTCTTTTCCACCAGAACCTTTTATTTATGCCCCATTGCACGGAATGAACACTATACTTATAATTAGAATGTTTGCTCTAAGTAATTTTTTCTGTTCCCAATAATGTATGCATAGTGATAGAGATTTGATTCATTCCGCTGACACGTTCTTTTAAGTTATGGCGTGTGTAGGTTTTTTCTATCAAAAGTCGCGCATGCAACACACCGGAATTGAAAATTCGTCGTAAAATCGCACAAACCTTAGAATGAGTGTAGGCAACTTTGACTTCTGGCGAGATGAAGTGGATGGTTCAAAGAACCCCCTGAGATTTTTTTCAGGATTATAACTGAGATTTGTTAATAACTATGATAATCGTCATCATTAGCGGACGGTGCTTTTTGCCCATTGTTGTCATCATTATCGTTATCACGCCGGAAGAAGTATAAAGCCGGCATGTCGCCTTACTTAACTACACAGAAAATTGTTCTCTCTTTTGCTCCCCTTGGATCCTGGAAACTGTTACTATTAAGACGATCAACAAGAAAGCCTATACAGATAAGCCTATACAGATAATTATTGAAACTTTTGATTAAAAGAATGTAAGAAAAAAATCGGTGGGGAGAGTTTTTCTCGTATCTTATAATCTGAACGATATTTTTAAATAAAACAAATAACACTTAATTCAATTTACCTAAGTTGTCTCGTGTTTAAAAGTGGAGTTTCTGGGGACCGTAGATTCTTCTCTGATTCTTCTTGTCTCAGCCAAGACTCACTATCATCAATTTTTTTCTTGTGCTTCTTACGGCATGGGACACAGAGAGCTGAGGTGAGCGATTGCAAATTTCTCAATTAAAGTAAAGCCCAGTAGCATCCATCAGGAATTAAAAACCGACATGCACTGTTTACTTTAATTTTATTATTCTTAATCAAATTAGGGGTGTTTTAGTCTGCAAATTTAATCATACTGGTTAATGAGAATCATAAAAACTGAGGAAAACTGACCGCAAATAATTGTGAACCGTACGCATGAGTAGGTATATTTCGTTGTCAGGTGATTTGATCTTCTACAAAAACATTATTGATTATCAACCACGCAACATAGTACATATTTCCATCTGTAATTTAAAGCACTTGCACATAGATCTATGTTTTTTCAACGTGATGTGTACTTAAGTACCCTTCATCTAATAAAGAATTTCTTCTCTTTTCGAGCAGATATGTCACGTGACAAAAATAGATAACAGAAAATGTTACTGAAGACTACCTGATTCAACTGGAATAATAACTCCAAACAGCTTTTGAATGCCCTGAGACATATGCGAGGTAATTACATCTCTGCCTTGGATACGCTTCCTGACACCATCATGATCAGGATACTGACATGTTACCTTTGTACTTCTCCAAAACTTCTCCAGAGTGTGGCGATGCCTATAGCAAATCCACATTTTTTTGTTTATCCTCCTGAGCGAGGTGAAATAGGCCAATCCTTGCCAAGATTAGCTCATTTTCACTTAAAAACCTCTTTAGACAGGTGGCAGTTTATCAAATGATGTTTTACTTCGTCATTGCATTCAGACAGTCGTACCAAACCACTTAAGCCACACGATGAACCATAGTTTTTTCCATCTTTGCTATTCAAATAGCAGTCCTGAGACATAATGAACGTCTCACTAATGAACGACTTCTTCCTGTTCTTGTAATTGTTTCCAACGCGATACAAGTTCGGGAGATCTAAAGGAACTCACTATAACTTTGTATATTCGATACGATTCCAATTTCCGCGTCAAAGGAGAAGCCTACTGTAATTCGTGAGTGGTCAGTGGTTACGCTCGTGAGGTAAAGAATGGGTTTGTGACTTTCTCACTCAATTGAAAGACTCGCGTCACTCTTATGAAATGGTTGAACGGAATACAGACTTCGAGCAGTCTCTTATTTTTCTTAAAGATAGTGAGGTCACGCGTATCCTGTGTGCATGGAGAAGCCGCGAGACGCGAGACTCGTATCTCGCGTCTTTGCCGCTCCACGCTCTCAGAGTTGGGCAAAGACAAGACACGTTATTTCCGGTGCGATACAAGAGGTTCAATGGTTATCTCGATTATCTAAACACATTTATTTACGTGGTAAAGATTTGTTTTTAAATCTATGAACTGATGCTAGTCCTATTTGGAACGAAATGTATTTGAAATGAAAAAGAATACTAAGTAAAACAAAAGTTGTCTGCAACACGAAGCATGCCTTCGCATTAAGACTAAGAATCCTAATATTTATCATGATACTTTAATGCATGTTCGAATATTCCTTAAAATCTTCTGATAATCTGCCCGCACCCACCCCTCGCCACTGAACCGTGCTATTTTCACTTAGCGGCTGGTCAGCGGTCACGTTTATGAGGTAAACAAACCAATCGATTCCTGATCACCGTTCTTGTCGATCGGAAAATCAAAATACCAGCGTGATATTGCCGCGAAGATGAAGCAGTTATGTTACTAGATTCGTACTTCACATTCGAGTCGAAGCTTGGGTGGCACAGGTTATTTCTTGCGGTGGAATCGACGTGGGGAATTCGAACACTAGTTGTAGTGTTTGAATTGTTGAAAGAAACGGTCGCATGGGGATTGTAAGTTTAATGAACAAATTCAAATTTTGCCGCTTTAATTGAAAGTAAAGTTCATTTGAATTGCTTTCGTATGTATTTCTGACGGTTTTAGATCTACCTGCTTGATTTATATCGGTTACGCTTCATGTTGACAAGTCCCTCAAAATGGCGGCCAAACTTGGAGATTGCCGAAAATTAAGTAAGTTCACGGAGTTCTAAAGTTCTCGTAAAGGTCGGGCCGCAAAGTTTTTTCTGTAGTAACCTTTTCTATGGCACCTACTTCCTAGCTATGTTAGTTGGATCAGTTAAGAACGCCTCACTTTTTCAAAAATTTACCTTGAATTTGATCGGTTTTGGCGTGTGTGATTTAGACGAACCAATAAGGTGTCATTCAAGTCTTCCTGTTTCCTTGATTGACACGTGATGTTTACGAAAGTCGCCTCGATAGATAAGATAGAGTTAGTATATACATGGCTGTGGTATCTGTTTTTTGCTGAGTTCCGTAGTTTTTTGTAAATTGTCCTCCAAAGTTGTATGAAATTAAAGTCTTGAAAAGTGTCACGACAAGCCTTCGCTCGAGTGAAATTTAATTTCCGTAAAACTCTGAAAAATAAAGAGATCCGATCAAACTGATTGTGGTTTTAGTGTAGGTACATGAATGTCTTACAACACACGAGAAACGAGCGAAATCCGTGTCTCAAGCAAAATCGACCGGATCGCTTTTACAGAGACACTCTCTTAAAATTCCTGGATAAAAAAATGGGACAGATAGATATATAAAAGATCTTTTGCGAAAAACAAGTCGCGGGAACTAGCTCTTCAGAGACTTACTCGCCATCAGGGAACTTGCCTAGAAAATGAATTGAGGCACTCTCTACAAAATCTATTTTATATTGGAGTCATTCAATGCAGACCAATTCAATGTTTTTGTCAACAATTTTTAAGAGGGAATGGGTCCGTGTTTCCGCCTATTTCTTAGTATTGTGGTGCTTCTTCAGGATTGGATAACGTTTTCTTTTTGCAATGGAATGTCCAAGCTTCGAGAGGAGATTGCTTCTATTTGCACGTCAGTTTTATCTTATAATCTACATCCAACATCTTTGATAATGCAAGGCATTGCCAAAGATATCGTAGAAAAACATCTTAAAATACGAAAGGAGTATTTGAAATGACACTATTTAATGCAGAGGTTTTCACGGACTGGAATTACGCCTACCAGATAAGAGTATTTCTGGTACTCGCTGTATTCACTGTGGCTTCTCGTCCTGTCGCCCTTTGGGTTCATTTTGGAAAACGCAACTGATCAAAGTAATTCATTCATCACTGAAGGTTACATTTCAGTGATTACGCTTAGGCCTGTTCCCACATTTCGCCGAAACCTGTTACTAAAAAAAACGCGTTAACCGATTTTCTATGGAAAGTTATTTGAACCAATAAAGATAGGTGGTTAGTCTAAAGATGATATTTTCAGTCTGTAAGGCTGCATTGAAACGAAAGTGTAA